GATGGGGACTGATTACCAGACATGGGCTTATTGTCAAACATGGGCTTATTACCAGACATGGGCTTATTGTCAAACATGGGATTATTACTAGACATGGGGTTATTGCCAAACATAGGCTTATTACTAGACATGGGCTTATTACCAGACAGGGACTGATTACCAGACATGGGCTTATTACCAGATGGGGACTGATTACCAGACATGGGCTTATTGTCAAACATGGGCTTATTACCAGACATGGGCTTATTGTCAAACATGGGCTTATTACTAGACATGGGCTTATTGCCAAACATAGGCTTATTACTAGACATGGGCTTATTACCAGACAGGGACTGATTACCAGACATGGGCTTATTACCAGATGGGGACTGATTACCAGACATGGGCTTATTACCAGATGGGGACTGATTACCAGACATGGGCTTATTACCAGACATGGACTTATTACCAGACATGGGCTTATTACCAGACATGGGCTTATTACCAGACAGGGACTGATTACCAGACATGGGCTTATTACCAGATGGGGACTGATTACCAGACATGGGCTTATTACCAGATGGGGACTGATTACCAGACATGGGCTTATTACCAGATATGGTGTTATTGCTAGATACATTTGGTATACAGATATTTTTGTTTGTTTTACTGAAAGATTCATGAGAACAATCACCTTGGTGAGGAACCGGTCTCTGCTTTGCAGATCCATACATTAGAATATACACAGTGATATTTTGTACTCAAATATTTTAAGTCAGGGACTCAATACATTGCCCATGGGACTTACTCAAATTTTGAGAACCCATTATTTCCCTTTTTTACTAAATATTTCAAAATTTTGAATTGGTGCTGTCAATGTGTCAGAAAAAATCTTGCAAAAATGATTGATACAGTATGTGACCTTTGTATAAAGGTCATCTGCACTTCAGTTCTGTTTCACAATAGTTAATTAACATGTTACTTATGCCTCCATCAGTAAACAAGATGCTATCTTATTTTTAACCATGAAAAAAAGCCAGACATTTGTATCCCTTGGAGAATAGCTGAGACTCGTACAAAGAAAACAGTCAAGATTTGAAAACAGATTTTACACATTATTTATTCAGCAATTTTCCAGGAATATCCACACCTCATCCTGACTCATGAGGTATAGGTGTGTACAGGGTATTTAATCAATTTGTTGTTTATTAAGCACCAACAGATATGTAACAGATATGGGTGGGCTTATTACAGGGAACATGGTTATACTATTGAGGGATTAAGATGGTAAGAAGATTTAATCTAGGTAATAAGAAATTTGTATATGTTTTATATCTACCTACAAGTATTATCACTGGCATCCCCACACAGAAGGGGTGTGTTTTATTAGTTGAGTCCTTATCTTAGGTTCAAACAAAAGATCTGTTATATATTACCAAATAGGACCTCTCAGCAATGTAACTTCTTCCTTAGTGGCGTTGATAAGTCTCTTACAAAAATCTGTAATATTACATAAAATTCTGGACCTCTCAGCATTTTTATTTCGTCCTTAGTGGAGTTGACAGGTCTCTAACAAAAATTTGTGATATCATACCAAATTTAGGACCTCTCAGCATTAATACTTCTTCCTTAGTGGAGTTGACAGGTCTCTAACAAAAATTTGTGATAAACCAAATTTAGAACACTGACTTTATATCTTCTGTTTGGTGTTTCAGATCGAGAGAGTGGAGAGCAGCCAGTTAATGGTAGAAATCTGACCAGTAGCCACAGTTTTGTGGACCAACGACAACGAAACTTTGTGCAGGATTCCATCAACAGTCCATCATCATCAACACAGTCAAAAGAAGGACATACTTCAAACATTTCAGAGAATGGGATCAATGAGCAAAACGGTGAAGTGATCCTGAACGGGTATGGAGACAAGTCACATGATCACATTTCCGTGAAAAACCAGAGGCGGTTTAGTGATTTTAGTGGAACGTCTTATAAAAATAGTTTCAGAAGATCGAGTGATGTCAGTAAAATTGATGAGCATAATTCAGTGTTAAGTAAAGACAAACCGCACTACCTTTCCTCGCCGTCTGTTTGTAGAGACGCCGGATCCCCTGTTCCAAAATCTTCAGAAGTAAAGCCAACATATCATTCTTCATTATCAATTGCACATTTGCGATCAAATAGAACATTTTCTCCTCCGCCAAAGTTGTCACCTCCATCGGACAAATCTACAAAGTCTTCTTCATCACCATCCTCACCCTCTACACCTTTACTTCAGCCATCACCTGCGACACCTGCTCCATTGCAGACGTCACCTATATCATCTCCATCACCAGACTCAGGAAATATCAATGACATATATAGTAATAGAAAAATAGACACGTGCCAAACACCTAGTTCACCTACAGCTGGACAAGCAAGTCCAAAATATCAGCGACGATTCTCTTTGTCTGCCATTACTCCTAAAAAAGATGATGTAAAAGGCAAAGAGGAGATCAAACAGGAAAGTGACTTCGAAGCTTTGGGAAAGTCTTGGATCGAGAAAAAGAAAAGATCGTGTTCACTTCCTGGGAACAGCCCAGCTCTTGACTCTTCACAAATGGAGGCTGCTTTCTCAGAGTTACTCAGCGCTGTTGACCATGAACCAAAAAGCAATGTCAACACTTCCAATGACCTTGACCTTGTGGTGGAAGACATGAAAACGGATATTAATGAAAATGAAACGGTTGAAGATAAGGCAATGAAGGTTTGTGTATATTTTATGTTATCAGGAAAAAAACCTGTAACCCATGTTTAAATGGAAATGTGATCTCAGTAATAGGCATTGTATGATAGTTTGGCTTGTAAAATCATCAGTAAATTTAAACATGAGGTGTTTGTGTTGACATTCAATATTGATGGCAACTGGAAAGATATTTCAGAGACAGCAGGGATGAATTTAAACATTGGTTTGTATACACATTAAATTGTATTTCATTCCAGGGGGTTAAGATATATATTTGTCAAGAATCATTGTAGCAGTTTGGCCTGATTGGAGAAAAACATAGTTTGTAATACTGAATGATTCTTGTTTTTTCGATTGTCAAAAGAGCAGATAATATGAGAGAGGTATAATCCCAGAAAATAGGTCTGACTGTGTTTTCTAGTTTTCTGAGAAATGGATTACAACTGTGCTCTTTATGAGATAGGAATCTGTCATTGCCAGCTGTAATTGTTTATGTGATGTATCATGGTATTAAAACTGACATTTTTATGTCTCACTAATTAACTATAATGACAACAAGGTGCTGACACGGAGAGACAGAGGGAAGTATGGTTGTCGTGTGGCACACAAACTTTTGTAAATATCTCTAACCTGTTTCCTAAGTTTTGTAAAACAGAGGTTAAGCTGAGGGTTTTTTTTTTTGTCAGGTAAATTTAATTTGTTACTAAACAGGAAAATGAATAAGAAAATGACAACACTGGGAAACTAATTAAGACAGGAAATTCTTGCATAACATGATAATAAGAAGATCTTATTTATGGACATGTAAATTTTGTTTAGGGTAAGTACACACTGTAGTACAGTAAAGCCACATAATGTCTGAAACATCTTAACCTGCATCAGTATTCGTCACTGATGATAATGACCTAATTAATGAAACCTATGAAGATTTGACAGAGGAGAATCAAAATTGATGGAATGGAATATCTAAAAAGAATAAAGATGGAAGTAGGGGTGGGGGTAGAGGCGGGGGGGGGGGGGGGTTAAACCTCAAAATCTGTTAGATTTCATTATTTTTAATATTATGTAATTTTAAAAGAATGTCAAGAACTGGTGTATATTGAACAGGCCACTATTTCAAATAGATAACAGTACCTATACTAATGTATTTTACAACAATCATTAATGAAGTATTTAGCTTTAATTGATGTTCTGTCTTTGTTTTAGAAGACTGTTACAGACAATATGGCTTCTGTCCCTTCTGACAAAGGTAAGTACCATATTTTGGGTCAAGGTCAGAAACGAAGTAATATCAAAGTTAGAATGAAGGTCAGAAGTTTACAGACAAATCATGTTAATTTGTGTAAATCTTCATTGGGGAATTTCGGAGCCTGAAGTACTGATAAATACTCTTTTAGTCGATAGTATTGACATCACACTCATTGTTACAATAATCACCTTGTCTATATGTATAAGCATCCAAGGTTTCATGTGTTGCTGTTATACTTTAATACTTAAGATTACAGTTTGACATTAAGTTTTGTTAAGAATATACAAGACACAGACAGAAAGATTGAGTTTAGATTTGAATGAAATTTTTGCAGTAGGTACTAATTAGCATATTTCCAAGAGGTTCAATAAAGTTAATCAACAAATTAAATCAGACTAGAAAATTTCTTGTTTTTAACGAAGTTGTAAATGAAGTTTAAGCTCCTCTGTATGTCAATTTCATTTTAGTCAAAACTCCTTATAATGACTCATTATATTTTTACACTCTAGTTTTAATCATTTACTTTCATTTTCAGAAAACAACACTAGAACGCTGGTTTCTGCGCCACAGAGGTCTCACCTCCTCCTGGACATGAATACTACGCCTGAAAAAAATAGTGCAATATCAGTGATAGAAGATGATGACGGTGCTGTATCTGTGTCAAGTACATCACAGAAACATGTCGGTGATACCACAGTCACGCAAAAGATGAAACTTCGTAGATCGGAAAGCAATACAGAGGAAGAGGAACGAGACACAATCATTGAAACAAAGCTTACATCTCCCGGTGGAACTTATCACTATGAAAAAGATGTGACCAAGTCCAAACGCAAAATCACACAGCGAGGGTCGGATTACTTTTCTCGGAGTAAATATGTAGTGAGAAAGAAAAGAGACGATTCTGGAGAGGAAATTGAAGAACATGATATTTTACTGGAGTCAGATAACTTTTCTGTTACAAAGGGGGAAGCATGGGGGGATAAGGCTGAGGCTAAAGTGGAAATGTCCAAGCCAATGGACACACTACTCCCTCCAAAACAAACATCAAAGGATGTTGGGGGAGATAAGGCAGGTGGGCGAATGAATGTGTCCAAGACAAGTAGTGGTTACGGCAGTGTTTCTGGGTCAGACGAGGAGGAAAAAGAAGAGACCATAATTATCTATGGAAACCAGGGCAGACCATCAGGTGAGTATCCGTTAAACTAGAACCTTACATACCCAGTATGAGAGAAACAGACAATGACACAAACAAACAATGATGGTAGTAGAGGTGTAGTACTAAGGGGGTGAAGCAAATGTTTACAAGTAAAAAAAGATCAGAAATGCTCTCCTGTTGACTGTTTAAGGTGACCTTGTCAGAAATTAGATCCTTATTGTCTGGACAACCAGGATCTATTAAACTTAAAAATGAAAATTTTAAAGTATCAAATCTCTGGTTAATTCTTATAAAGAGTGTATCATTATCTATGAAGTGTTATCAATATTGATCGGCTTGTTAGTGGTATCTTTACTATGTAGATAATTAACTGTATATAAAGTTTACCCTGTATCTCCCCCCTCCCTACCCCCTCCCAATTTCTCAGATCATTATAGCATTATAGTCAGTAAATAAAACATACTCTCTACACTTTAACAGCCATAAAAATAACATCAAAATATCACCACGACGTTAGAAAGTCTCATTCCATAAATTCCTATGTAGGAACGATTAAGTCTGTGAATATGTCAACGATTTTAAAAGTGTTTTTCTAAATGTCAAATTTATATCCTCAAGGTTGGCAGGGAAAATTTGTGTACAATGATTGAGGTTACAAAGTAAGTGTTTGTGAAGTGTCAGCAGAAAGTCTGTTTAACATGTATGTTTTGTTAGTGTGTGTTAGTGTCTGAGAGCGTATATTGATATTACAGATCAAATTAGAAGTACACTTCACTTTTCGCCACCTCCTGTTTTCTGGTTACCTGCGTTCATTTATCATATATCGCAGGCATTTCCTACTTTATAACAGCTTTACTCAATGCTGCATTGTGTGGATGTTTATCTGTTTCTATGTAATTTTTACCAACACACAGATTACCGACGCTGTTCCAGTACCAACATATTCAGTAACCTGGCTCCCAACAATCAGGACTGCTTTGAAAATCTCCCTTGCTTATCCTCATGTCACATGTTTGAATGTCCTGTAGCTGATTGGAGGATTAGTATGTCATTGTGTCTGATTGGTCCCCATCACCATTGATGCATCCTAACTCCTCATTAGTCTAGTCATACTAACACCTTTTGTGTCCTATTGTTTGATTGGTTGTGGTCCCTTTACATGTTTGTGATTCCTTTGTGTAACCCTTTACCTGATTGACTATTGTCCTCCATGCAATTCCTTATTATATTTGTCTTCACTTCTGATTGGTCAGGGATTTCCTTCTGTTTATAATTTCTCATGTGACAGATTAGTTCATTGGACAATCTTTTCTTTTATATCACCCTGACTTTGTCATATTGAATTAAGGAACAGAAACGTTAAGGAGATTTTGAGATGCTTTCTTAGTCTTACTGATGGGATGACAGACATTTGGGATTGTGTGGTTTATTTACTATAGTACACTGACCAATCAACATTCTGGTAATTCTCCATATTTCAGTTGACCTTTAGAACATGATGACCTCAGCCATACTAGTTGATGGTAAAATCAAGTTGACCAAACCTCATATAGCTTTAATCTTAAGTGTTCTTATACAAATAACACTAAGTTGTACAGTAGTAAGCCCCATGATCTTTATAAAAATGGAATTTTACTCAAATTTTTTCAATGCATTTTAAATTCAATTCAATATTTCTTGTCCAGTTTTCATGTTAAGCTTTCAGTAGTCAGAATCATTGTCTACTCGGCACTCCATTTGGAGGATGAAGTGGTGAGCTCGGCAGTAGTCATTTACCTCTAATGAAGATTGATGGAGAAGAAATTGAAATAAAGAGGCCTGATTAACGACTGCTAGTCTATACTTTACTGAATGTGATTGGCTGTCAGCACAGTGACACATGTATCTAAATTCTCAAGAATATTTGTTTGAACTACTGTTCCTTGAAAAGTCTACAAATAGCTTGTGGAGTTTGGTGTGTGTCTGCATTTGTTTGTGTCTAGGGCGCCAGGAATAGCAGCACCATTTAAACCATTTTCTTCTGAACTCTGATGCTCTCTCAAGCTTTGTTGATGGAATGCTAACTAACTTTGAAGCAAATATGCACAGAAATACTGGCTGATTCTCAAATAAACTACGTTGTTTTGTGTTGATTTTGATCTCTGAATCGCCATTTAAGTTTGTTCCAGTTGTACATTCTGTATATTAATTCTATAATCAGATATTTGATCTATAATGGTAAAGTCGATGAACTTACCTTCCAGTACTTAACATCATAACCTACATATTACAGAGTCATGGCCCTTTACTCATTTTCATACTAATATTTTCCTGCAGCATAACTTCGTAGATTTATCACCTACATTCAATAAACATTGTTGTACATTTATGTCTAATGTATTAAAAGAATGGAGTGTCACTGAAACAATATCTTGTTCATCTCACTACACAGAGTTATGGACCCTTATCAATATCAGAATCACATTTATATTAGGGTTATGAATTTTCTCTGTCAGGGTTTTGCTCTCTAAGTGAGATATCATCCTTAAGGGTGGTGTCCATTGACTGAGACAAACCAAAGTCTACAAAAGCAAGTTCTGTACTGATAATCTTCATTTGACTTTCGGCTTTGAATTTATTGTTGTAGTAAGTTTATTTTGGGAATAATTTCATTGGTCAGAGTATTATTCAACATCTGGGTTACAACATTTCAGTATGATAGTACTATAAAAAAGCCCAACATTCATCCCTTTAATTGGTTAACTATATGATGTTGTCTGACCCACACTGTAAAGAAGATGTCAAACATGAAACAAGCAATAATTGATATTTCAAGAGAAATGATGTGATATTTTTTCTTCCTAATGTATCAAATACCTACTGGACATCGGTGCTTGACCATGATTGTTCATTAAGGAACTTCTTTGTCTAAGATTCTTTTTGTAAGAAAGCATCAGCTTAAAATTGTAAAAAAAATTCTTCAACTTTTATGAAGTTTGAAAAAATAATTGCTATAATTTTTTTATGAAAGCTAAAATAAAACAATGCTTGTAAAACACAGGGATATGTAAACTAATTCTCCAAACTCATTTATTTATATATATATCAGTAATTACCAGGAAAGACCATAAACAACATTCTTCTCCATAAAAATTTAAGTGATGTATGAGATGGTTGGTCAGGGAAGGGTTATAGAGTTCAGTGGGACTAGCTGGTCAGAGAAGTGCATTTGTTAGTAGGGGTTGAATTTCTGTATAGATATAATGCTGAACGCTTTCACTGCTCTGCAGATCTATAATTCAAATCATCTCTGTAGGTCCTGTTTAAAGCACAATACATGTAGATTGTGAGGAGAGAACAAATTTGAGGGTAGATATGAGACGTATTCAGTCTGATGGAGTGCTGTGTGAAGGATTAGCGGCCTACCTCTGTGTTATTAGCTTGATTATAAGTCAGATCTTATCAGTGTATCAGACCTCTGATAAATAGCCCACTTGCACACACCATGTGTAAGTGTCCTAGAGTTATCTCCCTTATTCCATAATATTGTAAATTCCAACTTTTACCCGAATTGGCTGAGGTCCAAATTGAACAGCTTATCTCCTCGGCCCTGTCTAACAGAAAGACAGAAAATTCCACACATTATTTCTGCAAAGTCTATTACTTCTCAGTTTGCCAAATCTAATAGAGAAACCTCAGCGAAAAAAAATGATTCTATAATAAATAATTTAGATGTACATTAGAAGAGAAGCAAGTTTTCATAGTAACTGCTTTATTTGAAGGTGCAGGTGTTTCTTATATGCAATTATTTCCTGTTTCTTCTGCCAGCAGTAATTTTCTATGTCTACAAAATTGGTTTATATCTTTGGTACCAATATAACTATTTCTTGTTTGCATAATTAGAAAAGTTGTTATTTTTGGAAGTAGCGTGCTCTGTATTGTATCATCATCAGGCCATTGTTTAACAGAAGGAGCCCATCTCTGGTCTCCAAGCTGCAGTACAATAGTTGATCAAAGTTGATATAGGTACAAGCTTATCTTATTATAAACTTTAGGGTTGAAGTATTTCAGTAACGTCAGATGGTAACATAGGAGGTGCGACTCTCCATACAACAGTTCATTGATGTTTAACATTTTCTTCCCGCGCTTGGGTTTGCCAAATCTCCTCTATGCCTGGAATTCACTAGTTCTCAGTGAAGAAATCAATTTAGGGTATTTCAACGCTAAACAGAGCACGCGTAAACATAGAGTGGGCTTCTCTCACCTGGCTGCAGTAGCTATCGTCATGGGGACCTCATGGTAAACACCACATTCTCCTCTACTTCTCCATATAGGAATAATTGGAACCATGTTCCAGGACACAGGTAACTTTTCTCACTTATAGATTGTGATTTGTGAGATTTGTGTTTATGAATGATAGCTTACTCGTTATAGGCTCATTTCCTGGTATAAAAGAATTTATCATTATCATTTTTTTTTTTAATTTTTTCTAAGATCATCATCATCATTGTGAACTGACATCATCTTCCTCGTCATGATCTTTCACCATCAATAAGGATTTATTGATACTGTAACCTTTGTACTTATGTGTATTTCGGAATGTTATACATTTGTTAATAATTCCATTTGTTTTGATTTGTACAATTGTTTTCGTTGTGAATGTTTCTGATATATATCAGTGCAATATATTTCATGAAATCTTTTTATCTGACTTCACGAGTGAAAAGTTAATATTTGTCATTTTTTTCTTCCTTCAATATTAAGAAACTTTAAAAAAAATGATAGTTATAAAGTTCTATTAAACTTACCTTCATCATTTTTCGTATATCTAACAACGTGATTATTGACAGAAAATATTTCAAACTATTTCAAGAAATACGGTTTGATTTTGATTTCTGGTAGAATGATATACAGTAATGTGCTGACCACTTTATTATTTTATATACTATAATGCTCGTGTTAGAGAGGTGTTAATATACTGAATAGATTGGTGCTTATAGAGAGGTGTCATAATACACAATGGATTGGTCCTTATAGAGAGGTGTCAGTATACTCAATAGATTGGTCACAGAGAGGTGTTAATATACTCAATAGATTGGTCCTTATAGAGAGGTGTCAGTATACTCAATAGATTGGTCACAGAGAGGTGTTAATATACTCAATAGATTGGTCCTTATAGAGAGGTGTCATAATACACAATGGATTGGTCACAGAGAGGTGTTAATATATTCAATAGATTGGTCACAGAGAGGTGTCAGTATACTCAATAGATTGGTCACAGAGAGGTGTTAATATACTCAATAGATTGGTGCTTATAGAGAGGTGTCATAATACACAATGGATTGGTCCTTATAGAGAGGTGTCAGTATACTCAATAGATTGGTGCTTATAGAGAGGTGTCATAATACACAATGGATTGGTCCTTATAGAGAGGTGTTGATATACTCAATAGATTGGTGCTATAGAGAGGTGTCATAATACACAATGGATTGGTCACAGAGAGGTGTCAATATAGACAATGGATTGGTCATCATAAAGATTTTTCAGTAAACCCAAAGGTTTGGGTGTCACTATAGAGAGGTATTGGTATACACAATGGATTGGTCACTATAGAGAGTTATTGGTATACACAATAGATAGGTCACTATATAGAGGTGCCATTATGGACAGGTATCTGTATACACAGAACTAGTTAGCTGTAGTGCCCTCAATATCCCTAGAGTCTTTTTCCGGTTTCAGATGTATAAAGTAGAATGCAGTAACAGTGCTGAGCCTGTCAGAAAATGCATGGATGTACTTATATTATGGACACATAAATGTACCTACATATACCTGTATTTTAAGAGGAAAATATATACACACAAAGTATTGTTAGCTTTACAAAACAACAAATCAGCTTTTATATCTGGAGAAAATATAACTAATTGCTTGTAATACCATAGTAGAGATTTTCTCATGGTGACTAATCCAATTATTGGTAAACTTGTTCATTTTCTTTAAAGAAAGAGGAGTTTTGAACATTTCATCTTAAAACTGTTAAGCTGACCATACTCCTTTTTGTCCATGTTTTTTTTTCTCCAGCCTCCACAGCAGGAACTGGTGTAAAAGAATGATTGTGTCTGGCCAGAGTAGACATGAACTGCCACATTTCCATATCCTCATACCATTCCCTACCTTCCCTACTCTCTTCTCCTCATCTTCCTATACTTGTAACATCTCACCCATATTGTGACTGTGTGTGAATTCATTGACAACTTAACATTGTTCATTATATTTTGTGTATCAATTGTGTGACTTTAGTGCACAGCGTTTTTTTTACTGTTTTATGGTACGTTATGTCATTCAACAAGTTGTCATGTTTGACCTTCAGTTAGTGATCATTTACTAGCGTATCGTCATTACTTTGCCTGCACTAAGACTGTCACGTTTATTATGGACATATGGCTGCTTAATTGCTTCCTTTTTTTTTACGGCTACACATTATCGGAATTGTAACGGTAAAGCCAGCGAAGACATCATGTGCTTTTAATGTTTCGCTTTTCGTCTCTGATTAAAGGAAGTTGCTTTGGCAGGGGACAAACTTTGTAATGGTGACAAACGTTAATTTCTGCCCAAGTCTCACGGTTTTACAAACATGTTTACTTCAGGTTGTCCAGAGATTCGGACCACGTTGAAGGAGGTTCTGACACTAGAGGGCAGTTCAGCTATCCTGGAGTGTGCTGTAACCTGTTCCCCTATCCCCACAGTGTCCTGGAGTAAAGACAATAAGGCCCTCGGCTCCTCTGTACGCTATGAAACAAAGTTTGATAGCTCATCAGGGAAAGCCACTCTCACCATCAAAAGTGCTGGGATGAATGACATGGGCGAATACAAGTGTAACTTTCGTAATCCTCTTGGAGAGGCTGAAACAACATCAAAACTCATCGTAAAAAGTAAGTCTGTGATAGGAAATTGGATGAATGTTATATAATGGTGTTGTAACCATCACATAAGACATATAATTCAGTTCTGTAATATTGGTTTTCTCAGAATTTCCAGGTGTACCAAAAGCTTGATGCAAAGGGATAGAAATTTTTGTGGTGATCATGACACATAGTTTTGTTTTCTCTATTAATCTTATTTTCAAGGTTTCTTTTTTTGTGTTGTCATTTTCTATCTTCTAAAATAGTGAAAATAATAACTCTCTCTCTCCAAAAAAGAGAAATTTTCAATATCTGTTTACCTGTATATACATGTAAGTATATAGACAATATCTACAAATCCTTTATGAGGATTGACAGTATCTTTTCACCTGTATATAAGTGTATAGACGTATATACATTCCTTTGTAAGGATTTTGTGTACTTTCAGTAATATATACAACTTCCATCTTATTTATAAAGTATTATAGTACACAAGGGTAAGAGGTGAGATGAAATGTTACAGTACATACGTACAATCTCAATCACATCATACATTTAGTTAAATTCACTATAGATATTTACCATACTGTCAAATCTATTATTTTGGTGGGGGTCAAATTTTGCTGATTCTGTGGGTACTATAAACAGTCAAAATTGACATGAATATTCATGAATTTAAGAAACAGAGAAGAAGCATTTAAAAACACACACAAATATACATGATATAGTGAAATATTGTGTTGTATGACCATGTACACGTATGTGAATTCATACAACAGTGTGCCCACACATCTCCATGTCTGTGGTACAGTAAGATCAGACAAGGGAACCTCACCTTTATGACATCACAATCAGATAAGATGATACCACTGTGGTGTCACAGCTCTACATTGTTCGAATTTACATTCAGGGATATCTTGTTATCAGCAACTGACAGACGATATTCATATACACACTTTTTTAAAAATTCCATGTTCAGTGTTGCATTTGAAATGTCAATCAGTTTTTTTAATCCTTTTTGAAATTATTTAGAAGTTATTTGAACCTTTATCATATCAACAAGATCTGACAGATTGTGCTAGTCTACACAGTTACACGAAAGTGTACATCCCTTAAGGTTTCTATTTAAACCAGGTGTACAATTCTGACTGTGATAAACATGAGAATCAGTTTATTTGCTCAAGCTCACTTGTGTAAAATATTTGGAAGATGTGTGGATGTGATTTTTGATAAACATACAGACGCCACATGTTGCTGTATTTACATATGTTTCTCGATATCAACGGTCAACACTTTCCGTATGGTGTTAGCTCAGTTTCACAGAAACATGCTTTTCTGTAGTATAGACACTCATGATATTTACCAAGATACAGAAGAATAAATCTAGGTCAAGTGAATCCATCTGTCATAGCAGTCTTATTGTCTACATATTGTTCGAAGAGTAATACTTGATTTCCTACTCTTTGACAACACATCAGAAAACTGCATCGTGAAATTTGGCATTTAAAGCAGAAAAAAAAAAGACAACTTATGGCTTTATTCACTTTGACACAACTTTTTATTTTTTTTTATATCAATCTTCAGTTTGATAATCTTGCATAATTTTACTTTGATACAGAGAAAGCCACAAGAAAGCCAGAGTTCAAAAAGAGGCTGAAAGAACAGTCGGTGACGGAAGGTCAAGCCGTTGAACTAGAATGTGTGATAAAAGAGGCTTCCACTGTGTCATGGTACAAGGATGGGATTATTCAGCGCAACTCGGCTGACTTTAAACAGACCTTTGATGGTGTCACTGCTAAACTGGAAATCTCAGAAATATTTCTCGATGACAAGGGCGAATATGCATGTGTGGCCAAAAATGATCTGGGCGAGACTAAGACAGTGTGTAAAATTAATGTGAAAGGTAATTTGAACAGCTTGTATATCTGACTTTTTTTCTGTCACTGTGGTGCTTGTACTACACCTCTCTTCTACTGTGTCTTCAATGTCTGTGATATAACAGAGGATGTCATTGGTCACTGGGTGACCTAATGACCTCTCATTGTCCTTGTGCTTCATTGGATGTTTATGATTGATGTTTTCATTTCAAATTTATATGTTAATTTATTAAAAAGATGTTCATTATTAGTATATTTTGAAAGTCATTAATCAAATTTGAACAAGAAATAATACATTTTTTGTTTTGAAGATTTATTTGACAATCACTAAATCACAAACATTTTATTTAACAATTCTAATGCTTTATTTAATCACACTGTATAATTCATATATTATTTTTCACATGTTTCCTCCCCTACATTCAAAAATAGACTCTCTCATTATCAGAACCAGACCATTCTATTGTGAAATGTAGGGGTGGAAACATTGATGGAGTTGGTGTAAATTAAAGCTGTTTTCCTCCCCTTTCCTCATCCTTCTGCTCTTGTTGCTGCTATTTTGCTTTTACCCTGAAGTATTATACAAACTCTGAGCTTTATCTAACTTTGGGTTTTCAGCAGTGAATTACCAATATTAGTCGTTCTATCTTATGCTTTATCTGTATTATAGAGAATACAAAATATATCTATGCAAACAAATTCAAAAATTTGTTTTGCTAGATTAACCAAACTTTTTAATTAGGATTTAAAACCAAAACGAAGATTAGATATCAAACTTCTGTTTTTCGTATATGAAGGGGAAAAAGTCTTATCTATTAATAGAATTTTTGTTTTCATCTCCCTGTGACTTATATGAATTTGTTCTTTGGTCTCTAATATTTTCAAAACAATTAATTTTGATATCCTTACAAGTTAGTTATTTAGATTTTCCAATTAAATACTGTTGTGTGTGTTCTAGGATTTTCTTCCCTGATATTACCCTTACCCAGCATAGATTGATATTTAAGAAATTGTTAACTGCACAAATTGAATATAATTTCCACATATCAGGGCACAGTTTGTATCAGACATGATACACCGGTGAATAGAACATATTGACCTTCATCTTAAAAGACTTCCAAATGATACTAAGAAAGGGAGGTAATTTTATGTGTCATAGTAAATTTTTGTTTTGACACACTTTGATGTACAAATAATAAAGTATAACGTATTAAAGTTGAAAACTTTGCTCACTGTTTGCTTGTGTTTCTGAAGCATGCAAGGAATTCGGTTAGCTCAGCATACACATTGATGAGCTGTTATTATCAGGAGTGGCCGAGGTGTGGAGCACTTACGTCTCATATACTTATACAGGAGATTAGGAGAGACTGATCTCAGTGATTATAATCATATCGTCTTTTCTTCTGGCACTTTTGTTTGATTAATACACCAAAGATGATCGTTCTTACTGCACACTCGAGAGATAAGATTAACCAATCAGCACTTAGATTAGTTCTTTGTTACTTAATTACACAGTCAGGAAATGAATTGTTCTAATGGAAGATTAATTACTGAGTAGTTTCCAAGTGTCCTCACCTGTCATTGGCCACGTTTTAGAGAAGGATACCACTAAGGTTATGAGAAATAAATTTCACCCTTTGACCCCCATTTTGTTACAAGGAATATCTTAGATGAAAGTGATGGTTCAGTCCATTTAGAATTAAAGTTATGAAATCAGAAAGAGGAGGGAAACTACCACGATATTTTCTATATCAAGGTATTATGGAAAAGATGGATGAGATTTAAGAGCAGATGTGTTGAGTTAGAGATATCAAGTGTTAGGGTCCATGGCTATCAACTGGTGCATCAGGTCCCCTGGATAGTGAACCATTCCTTGGTAGGAATCAGTGTGGACATTCTGTATAGGATGGCATTAGCCTGGATTTCTACCTTAAAGCAAGGGAGGGGGTCTCACTTCAGGGGATACACACACAGTAATGTCTAGTTAGTGGAGTCCATCATCCATCAAGTGTCTCACCTCAGGGGATACACACACAGTAATGTCTAGTTAGTGGAGTGCATTATTCATCAACTGTCTCACCTCAGGGGACACACACAGTAATGTCTAGTTAGTGGAGTCCATCATTCATCAAGTGTCTCACTTCAGGGGATACACACACAGTAATATCTAGTTAGTCCATCATCCATCAAGTGTCTCACTTCAGGGGATACACACACAGTAATGTCTAGTTAGTGGAGTGCATCATTCATCAAGTGTCTCACTTCAGGGGATACACACACAGTAATGTCTAGTTAGTGGAGTGCATCATTCATCAAGTGTCTCACTTCAGGGGATACACACACAGTAATGTCTAGTTAGTGGAGTCCATCATTCATCAAGTGTCTCACTTCAGGGGATACACACACAGTAATATCTAGTTAGTCCATCATCCATCAAGTGTCTCACTTCAGGGGATACACACACAGTAATGTCTAGTTAGTGGAGTGCATCATTCATCAAGTTTCTCACTTCAGGGGACACACACACAGTAATGTCTAGTTAGTGGAGTCCATCATTCATCAAGTGTCTCACCTCAGGGGATACACACACAGTAATGTCTAGTCAGTGGAGTGCATCATTCATCAAGTGTCTCACCTCAGGGGATACACACACAGTAATGTCTAGTTAGTGGAGTGCATCATTCATCAAGTGTCTCACTTCAGGGGATACACACACAGTAATGTCTAGTTAGTGGAGTCCATCATTCATCAAGTGTCTCACCTCAGGGGATACACACAGTAATGTCTAGTTAGTGGAGTGCATCATTCATCAAGTGTCTCACTTCAGGGGATACACACACAGTAATGTCAAGTTAGTGGAGTGCATTATTCATCAACTGTCTCACCTCAGGGGATACACACAGTAATGTCTAGTTAGTGGAGTGCATCATTCATCAAGTGTCTCACCTCAGGGGATACACACACAGTAATGTCAAGTTAGTGGAGTGCATTATTCATCAACTGTCTCACCTCAGGGGATACACACAGTAATGTCTAGTTAGTGGAGTCCATCATTCATCAAGTTTCTCACCTCAGGGGATACACACACAGTAATGTCTAGTTAGTGGAGTCCATCATTCATCAAGTGTCTCACCTCAGGGGATACACACACAGTAATATCTAGTTAGTGGAGTCCATCATTCATCAAGTGTCTCACCTCAGGGGATACACACACAGTAATGTCTAGTTAGTGGAGTGCATCATTCATCAAGTGTCTCACCTCAGGGGATACACACACAGTAATGTCTAGTTAGTGGAGTGCATCATTCATCAAGTGTCTCACCTCAGGGGATACACACACAGTAATGTCTAGTTAGTGCATCATTCATCAAGTGTCTCACTTCAGGGGATACACACACAGTAATGTCTAGTCAGTCGAGTGCATCATTCATCAAGTGTCTCACCTCAGGGGATACACACACAGTAATGTCTAGTTAGTGGAGTCCATCATTCATCAAGTGTCTCACCTCAGGGGATACACACACAGTAATGTCTAGTCAGTGGAGTGCATCATTCATCAAGTGTCTCACCTCAGGGGATACACACACAGTAATGTCTAGTTAGTGGAGTGCATCATTCATCAAGTGTCTCACCTCAGGGGATACACACACAGTAATGTCTAGTTAGTGGAGTCCATCATTCATCAATTGTCTTACTTCAGGGGATACACACACAGTAATGTCTAGTTAGTGGAGTCTATCACTCCTTTTAACACCTAATTTGTGACATAACATATATACTTCACACTGAAAACTGAACTGTAATAAAGAGAGTTGGAATAATACCAGACTGATTGATTGAGAATTCCTCACAGTCACAACTGTGGATTTACACTCACAAACACAAGGATAAGTAATAAATCATCTGCTGGCAAGGACACTATACTGTTGATGTAGAGGACACTGTATTGTAGCAGTAGAGAACACTGTACTGTAATGGTAGAGGACACTGTACTGTAATGGTAGAGGACGCTGTACTGTGATGGTAGAGGACACTGTACTGTAATGGTAGAGGACACTGTACTGTGATGGTAGAGGACACTGTACTGTAATGGTAGAGGACACTGTACTGTGATGGTAGAGAACACTGTACTGTGATGGTAGAGGACACTGTACTGTAATGGTAGAGGACACTGTACTGTGATGGTAGAGAACACTGTATTGTAGCAGTAGAGAACACTGTACTGTAATGGTAGAGGACACTGTACTGTAATGGTAGAGGACGCTGTACTGTGATGGTAGAGGACACTGTACTGTAATGGTAGAGGACACTGTACTGTGATGGTAGAGGACACTGTACTGTGATGGTAGAGAACACTGTACTGTAATGGTAGAGGACACTGTACTGTGATGGTAGAGGACACTGTACTGTAATGGTAGAGGACACTGTACTGTGATGGTAGAGAACACTGTATTGTAGTAGTAGAGAACACTGTACTGTAATGGTAGAGGACACTGCACTGTGATGGTAGAGGACACTGTACTGTAATGGTAGAGGACACTGTACTGTAATGGTAGAGGACACTGTACTGTGATGGTAGAGGACACTGTACTGTAATGGTAGAGGACACTGTACTGTGATGGTAGAGAACACTGTACTGTAATGGTAGAGGACACTGTACTGTGATGGTAGAGGACACTGTACTGTGATGGTAGAGGACACTGTCCTGTGATGGTAGAGAACACTGTACTGTAATGGCAGAGGACACTGTACTGTGATGGTAGAGGACACTGTACTGTAATGGTAGAGGACACTGTACTGTAGCAGTAGAGAACACTGTACTGTAATGGTAGAAGACACTGTACTGTAATGGTAGAGGACACTGTATTGTAGCCGTAGAGAACTTTGTACTGTAATGGTAGAAGACACTGTACCATAATGGTAGAGGACACTGTACCGTAATGGTAGAGAACACTGTACTGTAATGGTAGAGGACACTGTACTGTGATGGTAGAGGACACTATACTGTAATGGTAGAGGACACTGTACTGTGATGGTAGAGGACACTGTACCGTGATGGTAGAGAACACTGTACTGTAATGGTAGAGGACACTGTACTGTGATGGTAGAGGTCACTGTACTGTAATGGTAGAGGACACTGTACTGTGATGGTAGAGAACACTGTACTGTTATGGTAGAGGACGCTGTACTGTGATGGTAGAGGACACTGCACTGTGATGGTAGAGGACACTGTACTGTAATGGTAGAGGACACTTTACTGTAATGGTAGAGGACACTGTACTGTGATGGTAGAGGACACTGTACTGTAATGGTAGAGGACACTGTACTGTGATGGTAGAGGACGCTGTACTGTGATGGTAGAGGACACTGTACTGTAATGGTAGAGGACACTGTACTGTGATGGTAGAGGACACTGTACTGTAATGGTAGAGGACACTGTACTGTGATGGTAGAGAACACTGTAATGTAATGGTAGAGGACACTGTACTGTGATGGTAGAGGACACTGTACTGTGATGGTAGAGAACACTGTACTGTAATGGTAGAGGACACTGTACTGTAATGGTAGAGGACACTGTATTGTAGCCGTAGAGGACACTGTACTGTAATGGTAGAGGACACTGTACTGTGATGGTAGAGGACACTGTACTGTGATGGTAGAGGACACTGTACTGTAGTGGTGGAGAGCACTGTACTATAATGGTAGAGAACGCTGTACTGTAATGGTAGAGGTCACTGTACTGTAGCAGTAGAGAACACTGTACTGTAATGGTAGAGGACACTGTACTGTGATGGTAGAGGACACTGTACTGTGATGGTAGAGGACACTGTACTGTAGTGGTGGAGAGCACTGTACTATAATGGTAGAGAACGCTGTACTGTAATGGTAGAGGTCACTGTACTGTAGCAGTAGAGAACACTGTACTGTAATGGTAGAGGACACTGCACTGTAATGGTAGAGGACACTGCACTGTAGCAGTAGAGAACACTGTACTGTGATGGTAGAGGACACTGTACTGTAGTGGTGGAGAGCACTGTACTATAATGGTAGAGAACACTGTACTGTAATGGTAGAGGTCACTGTACTGTAGCAGTAGAGAACACTGTACTGTGATGGTAGAGGACACTGTACTGTAGTGGTGGAGAGCACTGTACTATAATGGTAGAGAACACTGTACTGTAATGGTAGAGGTCACTGTACTGTAGCAGTAGAGAACACTGTACTGTGATGGTAGAGGTCACTGTACTGTAATGGTAGAGGACACTGCACTGTAGCAGTAGAGAACACTGCACTGTAGCAGTAGAGGACACTGTACTGTAATGGTAGAGAACACTGTACTGTAATGGTAGAGGACACTGCACTGTAGCAGTAGAGAACACTGTACTGTAATGGTAGAGAACACTGTACTGTAATGGTAGAGGACACTGTACTGTAATGGTAGAGAACACTGTACTGTAATGGTAGAAAACATAGCACTGTATTAGAGGCCTCTCTTTAACATACAGAAACAGTCAATCACCTCTCAAATTAACAGAAAATTGACTTTCTTCTTCACAATTCATGATAATGTAAACAGCACCAAGCATATTTGTAGGGTCACAGCATAAACTTATCAGTAACTTCATTTTAGCCATGTGGGCAGCCCTATTGAGTGATCATCTGGTTATTACTTTCATTCTAGAGATAAAAATTGTCTTATCATGAATTAGGACGATACCAGATCCATGCATAGAGAAAATAACCAATTTTCTGCCATCAGTAAGCATGGGATTGGGGTACATAAGCCTTCCTAAATAAACAGCAATCTTTGCCAGGCAAGGTTGTAATGCCCAGATCAAACGAAGGATAAAACTAGTGACAAAATACATGTAGAAAAAAACATTTATATCAAAATTACCTTCTGTGATCGGGAACATGTTTTGCAACAGCTGTTTAAATGTAGTGGATTTTTAAACACAGACAGACAAATTTGACCGTTAAAATTGGAATAGAAAAAAAAATTAGTAAAGAAATAGAAATATAAAGATCTACAGCTTTTTACATGACTTTCAACTTATTTAAACACTTTAGATAAAATTAGGTTTAATAGGGTAGGAAAGCTAGCTAAATTTTACATTTTTATAGTATCATATCCCAGGTTGTGATTATTAGTGAATATTAGCTGTTGTATCAGATTTTAGTCAGTGATTAAGTATACCCAGTATGGGGTCCCCACCTGTGACATAGGAGGTACACTATGAAGTTCTAAATCAGCTGGACGCTGAGCACTATTCAGGTGAGACAAGTGGTCCTAATGTAGACTCCATAATCTGATTTAGATTCGTAAATCTAACTTTTACAATTTTCAGTGTGCTCATTTCTCTGGCTGGTTACATTACAGGAGGTGCTGAAGTATACTGATACAGCTAGTGTATAACTGGCTCGTCTGGGAGCTTGGGGAATGAAGATTTAGTTATGTATGGAGAAAATTACGTATCAGGCAATATCTTAATATCATGCTCTGGTAGAATCATTTGAGTTGGAAATCTATATGGCTAATTTCTGTTGTGATGATGTTCAGGATTCTCTATCAAGGGTAGTACATGTTGTTGATTTACAAACCATCACAGCATCATTCATAACCCAACATTTGTCGTCTTCATGTAGATTTGGATTTGTTGATGGTCAAAACATACTCATACCCATCTGAAATTACTCAAATGCCACCAAAGTAGGAGACAGCATTATAGTTATCAAAGCTCTGGTCAAGGTCATAAAACTGAGGAAAATAATTGTGATGCCACGGAAATGTTACTGTCAAGATCACAAAAATGTTTGTTATTATTTTCATCAGTAGATATATAAATATTTGAGTCTCTTCCATTAGACTTTGGAAACAAGAAAAAGTAAACATAGAAAACAAAACAAATTGCCTTAGCCAGGCTTTTACCGTCAACATCATCCAAAATTTTGAAAGGAATCTGGTTCCATGTTTTCATCAGTGAAGCGATAAGGCTCCTATAGGCCTGACACAGTTTTCCTACACTACTACTAATAGTTCAAAGGTTCAGGGAATCACAGCTGGTCGTAAGATGTTCAACATCTATACAGTATCAAACAAGATTTCAAAGTTTACGTTTAATGTTGGAAAACAAGCAACATTTTGGTTGATAAAGCATCTACAGCAGACAATAGCCTTGGTTAAATTACAAATACTGCAATTTCTTTATTATAAGCCACACAGACAATATACAACTGTTATGCAGCACATATAATATACAACTATTATATATTACATGCAACATACCGCTGTGTGCAGCACATACAACATGTAATTGTTATACAAAACAATACAGCCTATGACTGTTATACAAACAATAATTTGTTATGCACCAAACATGGTATACAGCTGTTGTACAAATACAACGTACAGCTGTTGTTCAACACTATTTAGAACTGTCATACTACATACAGCTGTTGTACAATACTACATAGTACTGTCATGCAAGATACAGCTGTTTTACAACACTATAGAACTATCATACAACATACAGCTGTTGTACAACACTACATAGAACTGTCATACAACATACAGCTGTTGTACAACACTACATAGAACTGTTACAAAACACATATAGTATACAATCACTTTTGTATATCACATCTGATGGTTCCGTATAACTATAGTGTATTTACGGTATAATTAAAGAGTTTCCTGGCCATTAGATGGTAAGACCAGAATGTTTTTGAGTGGAACTCTCTGAAGTTTTCCAGACAAAAACATTAAATAACTTTATATACATTGACTATCTAAAGGTTTTTTTGTCGTTCATCTTATCGGAGAAATAAGATCGTGTTTTCTCAGCATAAAGGAAGCTGGATCTCCACTATCTATTTATATACATTCCAATCCATACAATAGTGACACTTAAATTTACTCAATTTTCAGCACTGACAGTTATATTTCTTAACATTAAATAAAACTGGCAGATTTGATTTTTAGTGTAGTTACTATCTAAAAGTGCTTTAAAATTTCAATCTTCCAAAACTTTTAACTGAGCAGGTTTTTAAATTTCACATTTCTTTTGGATTTTCACAACCTGACATGGCATTGAATAATGAAGTTTTCTTGCAAGCTGTTTCTCAGTTATCTGATATAAATGGAAACCATCTTAAGCTTTTAAGTGTTGACAAAAGAAAAATAATTATTTTCTTATCAAAGAAAGATTCATTTCTTTTCAAATTTAACGTTTATTTCTCATTTTTGTTTTTTGTTGGTTTGTTTTTGGGGAGGGGGGTTTTCTTTAATTGATTGAAATAACATTGAATAAAGAAGAGAGGTAAAGGTATCAGATGATTTAATTTATGACTTGTTCCTAATCATAGTATTGGAGTATATTTGCTTCTATCATATATTTTTCATTACATGAGGCTTTACAAGAATTTAGAAGAAGAAGAAACATTAATTGGAAGATGCTTTGTTAGAATCTAAATAACAATCAAATACAAGAAAAATTAGTGTAATGGCTCAGCAGAAAAATTTCTATGGTACACGAGACGGATAAGTGTTTGGCAGTAGTTATATCTGGGTGACTGATCTCCTGAACATTTCCAGAGCTTGTTAACGAGATGTATTGATTGACATGTATATTTTGTACACGGAGTTACTTATAATACAAAGAATAATTACAAATTTCTGAATTTTACAGCTAATCATCAGCTGATTGATAAAAAAAACTACTGTCACACAAACTCTGTTTACCACCATTCAAACTCCTACAAATGTACCTTCACACAAACACTATTATTATTATTATCAGACCTTACTATTGTTCTAAAAAAAATGAAAAACTTAAATACTTTATTTTTAAATAATTAATTTTCTTTCATTCATAGAAACTGCAAGTGATGCAAATGTTGCCCCTATATTCCTGACAAAGCCAAGCAGTAAAATTCTGAATGGTGGAGACACACTTTTGCTGGACTGTGATGTCATTGGCACGCCGAAACCAAAAATCTGCTGGACAAGGGATGGCAACGAATTAACTAGTAACCATGGCTGCAAAGAGACCTATGATGGGCGTGTGGCAACACTCAGGATTTCAGATGCCAGTAAGGATGACAGTGGCAAATATGAATGTACCGCCGAGAATAATGAAGGCAAAGTCACAGTGGACGCACTCATTGTAGTCAAAGGTAGATATATACTGTAAACTTCAAAACAACATTAGATGGGAGATTATTGTTAAGGTGTATCACTTCAGATGGGGGAGTATTGTTAGGATGTATCATTGTTAGGGTGTATCACTTCAGATGGGAGAGTATTGCTAGGGTGTATCACTTCAGATGGGAGAGTATTGTTAGGGTGTATCACTTCAGATGGGGGAGTATTGTTAGGGTGTATCACTTCAGATGGGGGAGTATTGTTAGGGTGTATCACTTCAGATGGGAGAGTATAGGTAGTCTGTAAAACATAAGAAGGGAGAGAAATGTTAGGGTGTATCACTTCAGATGGGGGAGTATTGTTAGGGTGTATCATTGTTAGGGTGTATCACTTCAGATGGGGGAGGTATGGGAGAGTGTATCACTTCAGATGGGGATTGATATTGTTAGGGTGTATCACTTCAGATGGGGAGAGTATTGTTAGGGTGTATTCAGATGGGAGAGTATTGTTAGGGTGTATCACAGATGGGAGAGTATTGTTAGGGTGTATCACTTCAGATTAGATCAGGGGAGAGTATTGTTAGGGTGAGATGGGGGAGTATTGTTAGGGTGTATCACTTCAGATGGGGGAGTATTGTTAGGGTGGTATTGTTAGGGTGTATCACTTCAGATGGGAGAGTATTGTTAGGGTGTATCACTTCAGATGGGGGAGTATTGTTAGGGTGTATCACTTCAGATGGGAGAGTATTGTTAGGGTGTATCACTTCAGATGGGAGAGTATTGTTAGGGTGTATCACTTCAGATGGGGGAGTATTGTTAGGGTGTATCACTTCAGATGGGAGAGTATTGTTAGGGTGTATCACTTCAGATGGGAGAGTATTGTTAGGGTGTATCACTTCAGATGGGGGAGTATTGTTAGGGTGTATCACTTCAGATGGGAGAGTATTGTTAGGGTGTATCACTTCAGATGGGGGAGTATTGTTATTGTTAGGGTGTATCACTTCAGATGGGAGAGTATTGTTAGGGTGTATCACTTCAGATGGGGGAGTATTGTTAGGGTGTATCACTTCAGATGGGTGAGTATTGTTAGGGTGTATCACTTCAGATGGGAGAGTATTGTTAGGGTGTATCACTTCAGATGGGGGAGTATTGTTAGGGTGTATCACTTCAGATGGGGGAGTATTGTTAGGGTGTATCACTTCAGATGGGGGAGTATTGTTAGGGTGTATCACTTCAGATGGGAGAGTATTGTTAGGGTGTATCACTTCAGATGGGAGAGTATTGTTAGGGTGTATCACTTCAGATGGGGGAGTATTGTTAGGGTGTATCACTTCAGATGGGAGAGTATTGTTAGGGTGTATCACTTCAGATGGGTGAGTATTGTTAGGGTGTATCAGTTCAGATGGGGGAGTATTGTTAGGGTGTATCACTTCAGATGGGAGAGTATTGTTAGGGTGTATCACTTCAGATGTTGGAGTATTGTTAGGGTGTATCACTTCAGATGGGGGAGTATTGTTAGGGTGTATCACTTCAGATGGGGGAGTATTGTTATTGTTAGGGTGTATCTCTTCAGATGGGGGAGTATTGTTAGGGTGTATCACTTCAGATGGGGGAGTATTGTTAGGGTGTATCACTTCAGATGGGGAGTATTGTTAGGGTGTATCACTTCAGATGGGGGAGTATTGTTAGGGTGTATCACTTCAGATGGGGGAGTATTGTTAGGGTGTATCACTTCAGATGGGAGAGTATTGTTAGGGTGTATCACTTCAGATGGGGGAGTATTGTTAGGGTGTATCACTTCAGATGGGAGAGTATTGTTAGGGTGTATCACTTCAGATGGGGGAGTATTGTTAGGGTGTATCACTTCAGATGGGGGAGTATTGTTAGGGTGTATCACTTCAGATGGGGGAGTATTGTTAGGGTGTATCACTTCAGATGGGGGAGTATTGTTAGGGTGTATCACTTCAGATGGGGTGTATCACTTCAGATGGGAGAGTATTGTTAGGGTGTATCACTTCAGATGGGTGAGTATTGTTAGGGTGTATCACTTCAGATGGGAGAGTATTGTTAGGGTGTATCACTTCAGATGGGGGTGTATCACTTCAGATGGGGGAGTATTGTTAGGGTGTATCACTTCAGATGGGGGAGTATTGTTAGGGTGTATCACTTCAGATGGGGGAGTATTGTTAGGGTGTATCGCAGTTTTCTTCACCATGATTTCCAGTTGAATATGAAAAGGGATAAAGTAATCTACCAGATCACTCTGGTATTGTGTATCCTGGCCCTCAGGACTGCTGTTGATAAACCTAGTTGGTACAGTTTTTTATATCGATAATCTATTATGTACTACCCGTATTTGGCAGTGACCTGTTTTAGAAGTATTGGTGCTATAAATATATTGTTCCTACTTATGGCTCTATATCACACAATGGGTAATTAAACACCTCAGAGTGCTTTCAGTTTGTTTAATAACTATAATGTTAAATGGTTTATACTCCCTAAGGAACAAATACTGTATATATGGTAAGCCTGGTCATCATAACATGACTTGAGATATTCTACTGTAATACTATTTACAGGCTTTGATCCTGTGTATTTAGACAACCATTTATGATAGGTTTTTTTTTACTTATCATACTACCACACCTGTGAATTTTACTTATATTTTGAGTGTAAATTTTATATACTGTCACAGGTGTGAATCTTACTTACCATTAGAGGTATAAATTTTGATTACCACCATACGTATAAATATTTACTTACTGTCATAAATGTAAATTTTACTTACCTTCACAGGTGTAAATTTGAATTACAGTCAAAATTGTAAATTTTACAAACTGCCACAGGTGTAAATTTTACTAACTGCCACAGGTGTGAATTTTACTTAATGCCACAGGTGTAAATTTTACTTACTGACACAGGTGTAAATTTTACTTACTGACACAGGTGTAAATTTTACTTAATGCCATAGGTGTAAATTTTACTTACAGTCAAAATTGGAAATTTTACTTAATGCCACATTTGTAAATTTTACTTAATGCCACAGGTGTAAATTTTACTTACTGACACAGGTGTAAATTTTACTTAATGCCACAGGTGTAAATTTTACTTACTGACACAGGTGTAAATTTTACTCACTGTCACAGGTGTAAATTTTACTTACTGCCACAGGTGTAAATTTTACTCACTGCCACAGGTACGAATCTTTATTCTGTTTTGTGATTAAGTTGATCAGACTTGGTAAGTATGTGCCAGTTAACATACTTGGCTAATCTGAGTAATATGTGTATTGACAAATGAACGATTCCATTGATAAATTTTAATGAGATAAAATGTTCCACAGAGTGTGTGATGACATCGCACTATTTAACTGTTATAAAAATAGTTAAATTTCTGATTGTGTCAACGCTAATATTGAAATTCTGCAAATGAAAGTAAGAAAATTTCCATTAAAAGCATTTGGTTTTACAAAATTACATCCATCTGGTATTAAAATTCTAAATCACAATATGAAAGTTGATGAAACACTTCACCATCAGGACAATTAGCTAATTTATTTCTGTGTCAACTCTGACATGCAAAATGTCAACTTGTGACAAATTTCTTGAGAACTGAATAAATTTTGATAAACTTTATTCGCCTAATAAGATTAATATATCTCGTATCACCAAAGAGCTCCTGTTCAGGTTGACTTTACCATAATGACTGATAATAGTGGGAACTGTGGGTCGGACTTAGTCACCTTATCACAAACTACCTTGTACCTACCATTCAGTGTGTATTGGCTGTACAGATATCAAACTTGAATAATGTACACCCTCAAAATCCAGATTCAATTAGCCCTGATCAATGACAGAACAGTCTATCTCTGAAATCTGGGGGTGATAGCTTACTGGTGCATGAGTAATATCAGGTATTAAAGTAGTATACAAATGTTACATGTTAACGGTCAAGTATTGTCAGAAAAACATTGGGATTAAAACATTTAAAAACCTACCAGAATTGTCATCAAATTGATATACAAGATTTGTTAAATGTGAGCTCGATGACATGTGAGAGCATAATTGGAACAGAAATATCTCTACAATGATGACGTATTGAAGGGGGGTCGGGCTGCGGCAGGGACTCCAACATGATGGCAATTTGAAGGCTCAGTGTTTACGACGAAAATAATTCTCCGGAATGGAAATGTCACCAGACTGTGTAATTACCTGTATACTCTGTAATTACCTGTATATTACTGTAGATCATGGCCAATAACTTAACACAGTTCACAAAATTCTGACAATTTTGTGCAATTAATACCGTATGACATATACTACAAGTGTGTGTGATCAGAATTCCAGGTCTATTTCTGTCATAACTGACCAAGTGAACATTGATTGGATCCAACCAGTATGTTACCATGTTCTGTCGGAGTATCAGTTTTCCCTATTTTATCATATATAAAATAGATTTGGGCAGAACGTTGTAGAACCATGTTTGTATCGGACTGGATTTATATCTGTTGATTTGGTAAAGTTGACAAGGCAGAGTGATGGTTTCCTTACCTTAGTAATATCACAGGAAGCAGAATGCTTTGACTGTAACTATGAACAAATTAAGACAATTACGTCTCACATTTTTCACAGCAAAACAAGGTCCTCCAGTCATCCTACATCAGCTGAGTGATGTCAGTGTGGTCCCTGGGAAGTCCGTCACTCTCCAGTGTGACGTCAGAGGAACTCCGGTTCCGATGATCATGTGGAGAAAAGACGGTCAAGTCATTGGAAACATGCCTGACTTCCATCAGACTTACGACAGTAACGTGGCTCGACTCACTATCAAGGAAATATTCGAACAAGATGATGGATGTTACGACTGTGTAGCTAGGAATAATTTCGGATCTGTGACATCAACATGCAAGTTAAAAGTGAAAGGTAAGGAAAAGAAGACGATCTCATCATTCAAATTTATCAAAATTTGTGAAATCAAAGTCAACAGATAATATCAATACCGATTATTTTATTTGTATCAGCTGATTTAAAAATTATTGTCCATTACACCAAGGTCAAGGTCAGTCACTTATTTCACATATTTCATAAGTCCAAGATATTATTATTCTTATCATTACAAATCCATTTTTGCAGATGAAAATAGTGCCAAAAACAAAATGTCCCCAAAATTGGGAGTGCGCAATAAAACTCAACAGAAGACAGACTGGATTGTGGGTAGGGACAAAGGTCAAACAACAACACCTACGCCGACCCTGCCAAAAGACACCGGGGTCAAGAGAAGTGAGAGTATGCGAGTCACATCCGACTATGGAGTTCGTGATCGTTTAATGAAAAAAATAGAGGACAAAAGTGCAAAATCTACCTCCGAGAAAGAAGATTTTAACAAAGTCTTAAATGGTTTAGGGAAAGGTTCCAAGGCAATGGAGGATTCTAACGACAATCCTTTTAAATCGCTCAAAGATGACGAGAAAAAGCGTGCGTCAACATTTAGAGATTTAGACAAAGGTAAAGACAAAGTTAAGGTGGATAATGACCCGCCTTGGAAAAATGTTTCATTACGGCGAACAGAAAGTGCACGTGTTCCAACAAAACCAGTTTGGTCACGTGACAAAATAGAAGAGAAACAAGTAGAACAATCAGATAAATCGACACCAGAAAAACCCAAAACTTCCTCCACAGGTGCTTCAACCGACTCAAAACCTTCCATTAGAACATCATTAAATCTAGAGAAATCAGACTCTGTTACGAAAGTTCCACCTCAAACAGATATGCCTCCACGGCCTACTATAACGCTTCGTAGGTCAGAAAGTGCACGTGTTGGTCAGTCTCTATTCCAAAAGAAAGATTTTCTGGCTCGTGCGATTGATTTAGCAATGGAAAAATCGAAACAGCAGGAAATTAACAATAATCGATACCAGGTAATAGAGGAATCACCGCCATCGTCGTCGTCATCACTACCCATCACAGAGAAAGAACAGACGAAGAAGTCAGAGAACACCGACTTGTCCACAAATGGTGCTACAGAGGAAAAATCAGGTTCAACAAAACTGGGAAGGACACAAAGTGCAAGACTTCTGTTCGAGAATAAATGTAATTCCCCGGATATCAAACCAGAGACGCCATTGGCAAGTTTTCTGGCTCGTAAAGAAAATGGATTAAGACGAACCTCAAGTCTGAAGGTCACCCCTGCTGAAAAGGAGGCAGGATGGTTCAGAAACAAATCCCAGCAGAATGGCCTCAATTCCTCTCCGTTGACTAAGGTATGTCAAGATTTTATCAGGTGTCTACTTTTTATGACCTTTCTAGTTTATTAGAAGATATATACTCTTACCCATGTCTGCCACATTGTGTCCCTTTATTATTTACCCCATAGTCACATTTCATCCTGTCACAATCCTGTCACATTGTGTCCCTTTACTATTTACCCCATAGTCACATTTCATCCTGTCACAATCCTGTCACATTGTGTCCTTTACTATTAACCCCATAGTCACATTTCATCCTATCATATTGTGTCCCTTCACTATTTACCCCATAGTCACATTTCATCCTGTCACAATCCTGTCACATTGTGTCCCTTTACTATTTACCCCATAGTCACATTTCATCCTGTCACAATCCTGTCACAATCCTGTCACATTGTGTCCTTTACTATTAACCCCATAGTCACATTTCATCCTGTCACATTGTGTCCCTTCACTATTTACCCCATAGTCACATTTCATCCTGTCACAATCCTGTCACATTTTGTCCCTTCACTGTTTACCCCATAGTCACATTTCATCCTGTCACAATCCTGTCACATTGTGTCCCTTTACTGTTCACCCCATAGTCACATTTCATCCTGTCACAATCCTGTCACATTGTGTCCCTTCACTATTTACCCCATAGTAAGATTACATCAAGTTCTATACCTGATCTGATTCTGGTTTGCATTCATGTCTTGTGACAGGTCTTCAATGAAATAGTGCAGTCTGTACCAATAGGTGTTAACTTGTAGCTTAAAACTGATGTGTTGACATTGTGCATTCTCTTTAATGTCGTAATTCAAATAAAATCATTTCATTCTCAAAAAAATTCTAGATCTTATTGACATAAATATGGTAATTCGTCTGAAAACCGAAAATACACCATTCCAAAAAACTTTCTTTTAGAATTATTTGCACTTGTTTTGCCAAGTGCCTGTTCCTTGCTGAAACACATTACAGTTTATATGGACAGGAAGCATTTCACTGCCACTTCATGTGCAGCCTGTAAACATACGTCAAGTGAATACCTTTCTTCAATAATTTGGCTGTGTAGCTGTTAAACTTCACAAATGGTAGAGGTTTTTAGGTCTGCAGATTCCCTGTAGCGATATCTAAACTGCTTTTGAATGTTGCAGCAATTTAGATTCAGATTAAGATTTCAAAGTTGTATTGTAGATTAAAGGCAGTCATGTTTGGTTTCCCTAAGGTAAATGTTTACCCCCCAATTTGTTTGGGGACGGGAAGTTATAGTAATCATTCAATTTGTGGAGAAGGAGTTATAGTAATTATCAGTTTGAGGAGGGAAAAATAATAGTAATGGTTCAGTTAGTGTAGAGGGTGAGTTAAAATAATCATTGAGTTTGTGGAGGGAAAGTTTTAGGAATGGTTAAGTGTGGAACGGGAGTTATGATAATGGTTTAGTGTGGGGAGGGGGAGTTATGATAATGGTTTAGCGTGGGGAGGGGGAGTTATGATAATGGTTTAGTATGGGGAGGGGGAGTTATGATAATGGCTTAGCGTGGGGAGGGGGAGTTATGATAATGGTTTAGCGTGGGGAGGGGGAGTTATGATAATGGTTTAGTATGGGGAGGGGGAGTTCTGATAATGGTTTAGCATGGGGAGGGGGAGTTATGATAATGGCTTAGGGTGGGGAGGGGGGAGTTATGATAATGGCTTAGGGTGGGGAGGGGGAGTTATGATAATGGTTTAGCGTGGGGAGGGGGAGTTATGATAATGGCTTAGCGTGGGGAGGGGGAGTTATGATAATGGCTTAGCGTGGGGAGGGGGAGTTATGATAATGGTTTAGCGTGGGGAGGGGGAGTTATGATAATGGTTTAGCGTGGGGAGGGGGAGTTATGATAATGGTTTAGCGTGGGGAGGGGGAGTTATGATAATGGTTTAGCGTGGGGAGGGGGAGTTATGATAATGGTTTAGCGTGGGGAGGGGGAGTTATGATAATGGTTTAGCGTGGGGAAGGGGAGTTATGATAATGGTTTAGTATGGGGAGGGGGATTTATGATAATGGTTTAGCGTGGGGAGGGGGAGTTATGATAATGGCTTAGCGTGGGGAGGGGGAGTTATGATAATGGTTTAGCGTGGGGAGGGGGAGTTATGATAATGGTTTAGCGTGGGGAGGGGGAGTTATGATAATGGTTTAGCGTGGGGAGGGGGAGTTATGATAATGGTTTAGCGTGGGGAGGGGGAGTTATGATAATGGTTTAGCGTGGGGAGGGGGAGTTATGATAATGGTTTAGCGTGGGGAGGGGGAGTTATGATAATGGTTTAGCGTGGGGAGGGGGAGTTATGATAATGGTTTAGCGTGGGGAGGGGGAGTTATGATAATGGTTTAGCGTGGGGAGGGGGAGTTATGATAATGGTTTAGCGTGGGGAAGGGGAGTTATGATAATGGTTTAGCGTGGGGAGGGGGAGTTATGATAATGGTTTAGCGTGGGGAGGGGGAGTTATGATAATGGCTTAGCGTGGGGAGGGGGAGTTATGATAATGGTTTAGCGTGGGGAGGGGGAGTTATGATAATGGTTTAGCGTGGGGAGGGGGAGTTATGATAATGGTTTAGGGTGGGGAGGGGGAGTTATGATAATGGCTTAGCGTGGGGAGGGGGAGTTATGATAATGGTTTAGCGTGGGGAGGGGGGGATGGCTTAGCGTGGGGAGGGGGAGTTATGATAATGGTTTAGCGTGGGGAAGGGGAGTTATGATAATGGTTTAGCGTGGGGAAGGGGAGTTATGATAATGGCTTAGCGTGGGGAGGGGGAGTTATGATAATGGTTTAGCGTGGGGAAGGGGAGGTCTGACAATGAATGACTTATGTGTTGTTAAGTAACAGAGACCTAGCATTTTACAAGATAACTTGATATCTTATAAACCTTTCAGTTACAGAATATCAAATTCTGATTATTAGTGAAGGTTTAAGGGGTCAATAGGTCAAATTTTACAACTTCCCATGTTTTTATAAGGAATAATCATAGGTGAATTCTATACATTTTCCTGATGGTTGTGTAGGTAAGGAGGTTAAGGTTTGTGAGCCCCTCTAACTTTGTTCTTATTAAAGAATATCTGAGAGAGAAAATTACATAAACAATTTACAGATCTTAAAATATCTTATTATAAATAAGATAACAGAGCATGTTTCTTCAGTGTTTTCTACACAAACTGAGGTAGATATTTATTATTATTTTCTTTGGGACGTGTCTGTGATTTACTGCTGTTTATCCAAGTCAAGTGAATAATTTTCTGGGCAGCCTTCAAATGTGGAATTGCTGTTTCTTTTAATCTTAGAGACATGTGCAAACTGATCTTTTTAATCAAACTGTTGTAAGACATTACTCTGATCAGGTATAAAAAAAACCTGCATGCTATCTGGTGTTCACCAAACGATGATACGATGATACGCTGGGGAATATTTACGACAGTAACATTGTAAGTCGTATTGCCTGGCACAGTCTTGTGAATTTGTCAGATAAAAACCCTGTTGTAGTGGTACTGGCATTGAGGAAGTAGGAGAAAAATAAGCAAAAGCTGGATATGTTTTGCACTGTGATGATAGGCAAAGCAGATAGCTGGAGTGTGAAGTAGAGACAAGAGCTGTAGCTCCTACAAGTAGACAGCCGGGACAAGTATTTAGAGTGTAGACAGCTGTACATAATGCTTCTCTATAATTGTCATGTACTAGAGCCATCACTGCTTCCGACTCTGATTATGTAGCACAGAACCTGATTGGTCATTTAGAATTGGAAACTTGTCATTCTGAATTTGATTGGTTTATTGTCTCATATGATCTGTGCATGGAAAACATGGAATTATGTTTTAATTTGTAGTTATACATTTAAAACATGGATCTTCTCTGTGGAAGGCAAGATTGATGCATTAAAAGTTCCATTATCAAATATTTTTTACTACAGTTAGACAATATAACTAATCTTTGCTACTGTTATTATTAGGACATCAAAACACATTGTCATTGCCTGTTCTAGGATCACATTCTCCAATGTCTGCAGATGTGGGATTTCTAGACACACATTCCCCATTTACCATAAAACATGTAAGGCATGATATAAAATTAAAATGTTATCAGGGAACCAAGTGAATAGAATATCTTAGGTATTTAACACTAAAACATCAACTGTCAAGTTAGCTGTTCAAAGAATAAAAACATGTTCCATATGTAATACACACATGTCTGTTTAATTAAGATCAACCAAATATAGTTTTATAAAAACTTGGATGAACAGATTGCCTGTTTTCTTTCTATGAGAATTTCTGTTGGCATTTCAAGAGTTTTCTCAAACTTTTCTCATTCAGCATACATTACACTTGACAGCCGCATGTCAAAGTGTTTTTTTGTGGCTTGTTGGATTGGAAAGTAGATCAAGGGAAGCAACTCCTACAGGCTTAGAGCACTTCAGCTTTCTTGTTTCATTAGTGGTATTGAAAAAAAAAAGTGAAAAAAAAACTCACTTAATTCATTCAGACTGTCATCTTTGATAGCGTGCCAGACTGCTCTATCATTATATAAATATTCCTATATATATATATGTGTGTGTGTGCGTGTATGTTATAATGTAACTAAAAGTCGGGCAAATGTTGAAATAAATCAGCTCAAAGAAATCGGTTTCGTCTATCAGCGGAGTCTGGCATTTGATGTACAACAAAAAAATTTGTAGTGCCCATTATCTAACACTTTTATAATTTTACTGAAACTGTTTCTTATTTATTCATACAAACATCCTCATAAATATATCACACATATATCTTATCCTTTGGACAGTTCTTGAAAATAAATCACTTTTATTTTGAGATGGAAATGACTTTGATGCTTGAGATCTGTTTTGTTACTGTGGGATTCCTACCAATGATATCAGTTATTGATGTGGTCTGTAGTGTAGTCAGTGAGACATCAGATGGTTGTCGAGATCTAAGTTACACTCAGATTTTTTAAAGTTATACACAAAAGGTCAGACTTGGTTGTAATTCCACTCTCAGCAATAGTGATAAAATCTCTCTGGGATATAAGTGTTTGTTAACATATCAAACTACATATCCAAAAAGAAAAAGAAAGTTGTTTTTCTCTGTGTAATAATTGAAGAATTGATAAGTTGTAAAGTGTTTATTGTGAGAAGTTTTCAGTTTTATCATTCAGAGTTTTGTTGTGGGCATGATGTTGATAACAGTTGAGCAAGTTTTATCAGTATTAATGGTAAATCAGTGAATGTATTTTTACATTATGAGTATACAAATTAAGGCAAATGATAGTTTAGATGATGCAATGCAGTGTTTCATGATAAATTATTTTTATCAAGTTTCAATGAAATCTTTCTTATTCTCTAATTCACTCAAAAAATGTTAATTAATTATGGGCACTTTTCAGCCTCCCTAGATTCAATGAAATCTTTTTGATTTTCTTATTCACTAAAAAGTGTCAATTAGTTACAGGCACTTTTCTGTCTATTTAAATGACCCTAGATATGAATGTTATTCCCAATTTCAAAATTTTCCGAACTTTACCCAATTCAGACAAATTTGGCCAATCAAACTGCCAAATTGGTAAATTTGCTTTCTGTGATTTGTAAATTTCAGCCAATATATCACTAAATCTACTCAATTTGCACTTCAATGTCAATTCCCAAAATGACCAGGAAAGTCACTGAAACGTTTGTTAAAAACATCAGGAATATACAGCTTCATGGATTTATCTTATCATTTGATCATATAAAATGTTTGTCTTTCTTACTAAAAAAACGCCCACTCAGGGACTGAAGCAAGTCTAGAAGAGTGGGGGTAAGTTAGTGTAAAATGTTTGTTTAAGTAGTAACTAGATATATTAGTTGTTAATTGGAAACATTTGATATTAAAGTCCAGATTACTACTGGTGATGTAAGGCTAGGGGTCTGATAATAGTGGAGGGAGGAGGGGGCTCTCTTCACATAGATACAGATCTCACGGAGGCCTCCAGGAGTTGTCTATGCCAGTCATAGTGCCATTACTGTGTAGCATTATCTCTGTACCACGTTCCCTGAAGGTCAAACAAGCATGCATTCTAACAGTGGATTTTATACCTGATTCCTCTAGCGCATTCCCCTTACCTGACTAGTGCGTGTCCTTCTATTACACGACACACTTTCGAACTCTTCTACAAACTTGCTTCACCAGTAAGTGGTAAGTTGTTTTAATTCATTATAGAAAATGTCTGAATCACTTTTTATGATCAACATGATAATATTTATGAAGAAGGTTGGTTATTTTTAGACTCCTGGCAATGTGTTTCGGTAATGCTACAAGTTTTAGAACTTTTCTGTGGTGCTATCCAGTTCTCTGATGTACCTCTCATAGATCAATAACTGTTAATATTACACAGTTTTCTGTTTAGCTCCATAACAGACAGGGTCAGAGGAATTGGAAATTATCATCATATAAGTGTGTGATTTTAGTCAGGTTTATTCTAATTATTTCCTGAACTTTCTGTATCTTTTTTCTCTGGAATGAAAAATTAAGGCTGTTCATACACTTCTACTGCATAGAAATATAATTAATTTGTTTCTGCACTTGGAATTTAATGATTCAGAAAAAAGCCCCAGAAAACCAACCCAACCACTTCATGTAATGTGATTTATACACCAATCTTTACAAACCTTTGAGGATAAGATTTTTTGTACAGAATGAAGATACAGATGTAGAACTTAGAATATTGTGTGATAATAGAAGCTGTATTGGTTACTTATCCAGGTGTATTGGTAGGTAAGTGTGTGAATGTATGGGTTGAAGAAGGTTAGATGTCTTAGCTGGCTACTGTTGAGGTAATTATCATGTTCTGTAGGCATTCTCCTTAATTAACATGGCCAATTACCGCTGGCCAGATAGTCCTTATCCTACTAATGTGTGTTTGGTGTAAATCTATACTCACAAACACACTTCTTAGGGTGGGAACTGAAGGTAATAGATAGATACAGGCAAAGCTATAGTAACACTGAAGATGGGAACTCAATGGTAAAGGGTACTGACCGAGGAACTGTAGACAAAAGTCAAAGGTAAAGACTGAAGATGGGAACTCAATGGTAAAGGGTACTGACTTAGGAACTGTAGGCAAAAGTCAAGGGTTAAGACTGAAGATGGGAACTCAAGGTCTTGGTCAAGGGCACTGACTGAGGAATTGAAGGCAAAAGTCAAGAATAAGAATTTGACAGTGTAAGACCTGAATCTGGTATACAACGGTGGGAGGGTACATTATAAAAACAGTTTGACTGTATTACAGTGTTAGACCTAAATCTGGTATACAATGGTGGGTGGGTACATTATAAAAACAGTTTGACTGTATTACAGTGTTAGACCTGAATCTGGTGTACAATGGTGGGTGGGTACATTATAAAAACAGTTTGACTGTATTACAGTGTTAGACCTGAATCTGGTATACAATGGTGGGTGGGTACATTATAAAAACAGTTTGACTGTATTACAGTGTTAGACCTGAATCTGGTATACAATGGTGGGTGGGTGTTAGACCTGAATCTGGTATACAATGTGGGACCTGACATAGACCTGAATCTGGTATACAATGGTGGGGGTACCTTATAAAAACAGTTTGACTGTATTACAGTGTTAGACCTGAATCTGGTATACAATGGTTGGTGGGTACATTATAAAAACAGTTTGACTGTATTACAGTGTTAGACCTGAATCTGGTATACAATGGTTGGTGGGTACATTATAAAAACAGTTTGACTGTATTACAGTGTTAGACCTGAATCTGGTATACAATGGTGGTTGGGTACATTATACAAACAGTTTGACTGTATTACAGTGTTAGACCTGAATCTGGTATACATGTGTTGGTGGGTACATTACAAAAACAGTTTGACTGTATTACAGTGTTAGACCTGAATCTGGTATACAATGGTTGGTGGGTACATTATAAAAACAGTTTGACTGTATTACAGTGTTATACCTGAATCTGGTATACAATGGTGGGTGGGTATAGTATAGTTTGACTGTATTACAGTGTTAGACCTAAATCTGGTATACAATGGTGGGTGAGTATAGTATAGTGTGACTGTATTACAGTGTTAGACCTAAATCTGGTATACAATGGTGGGTGGATATAGTATAGTTTGACTGTATTACAGTGTTAGACCTAAATCTGGTATACAATGGTGGGTGGGTATAGTATAGTTTGACTGTATTACAGTGTTAGACCTAAATCTGGTTTACAATGGTGGGTGGATATGTTTGTTATCATTATGCTGATCTTTAACAGATACATCCTAGGTAATGGATTAGTTCCTCACTATCCCTAACATCTATACTTTGTTTACTTACACCAGTCCTTGATCAACCATCTGCCTTTATACACACTACTGTCACAGCCAACTTCATATACCTCCCTACCACCTTGTTCTTAATCACAACCCTCTGAAACCCACTTCCAGTACCCTGTCCATAGTTTTACCCCTTCTCCCATCACCCACTCCCCCTCCCAGTACCCTGTCCATGACCTTACCCCTTTCTCCCCTATTCCTCCCAGTACCCAGTCCATAACCCTACCCCTTTCCCTCCTCCCCTTCCCCTCCCACTACCCTGTCCATAACCTTACCCCTTTCCCTCCTCCCCTCCCCCTCCCACTACCCTGTCCATAACCTTACCCCTTTCCCTCCTCCCTTCTCCCTCTCAGTACCCTTTCTGTAACCTTAATTCTTTTCTCCCCTTCTTCTGCCAAATACCCTGTCTGTAACTTTACCCCTTTCTCCTCTCCACCTTCCAGTGCCCTGTCTATAACCTTACCCCTTACTCCCCTCTCCCTCCTTGTACCCTGTCTGTAACTTTACCCTTTCCTCACCCTGTAGGTAACCCAGCCAATTACCTATACCTTGTCCCCACCATATTTGTAATAATAACCTTTGTACTTTTGTACGGAACAGTGAAGGGTTGGAATTATACAGTTGAGATGAAGAAATGGTATTGACAGAATTAGGGCAAGGTGAGATATTGAAGGGGGTTGATTTAGATAGGGTAGGGGTATTGTTAGTGAAAAGAAAGGGTGGGGTCAGATTATAGAGGGGGCTGTCTGTCAGCCAGTACATTTAGACAGGTGAATGAGACAGGTGTCTTGCCAGTGGTATGTTCAGCTCAATTCTCTCACTCCATAATGAGGCTGCTTCTCTGGTAGTAAGTGTTCCTGAAATTCTTTGGACTCAATTTTGAATTCAAACTTATGTACATTGTTATCTATTTCAACTTATTTGAGTTCAACGGTTTTGAATTTTTCTGTTAGATTGACGTTCCAATAAAAATTACATGATGACAAAATAGTAGTGCTGGTAAGTGAAACCTGTTTGGTTTGAGAACATCTACCACACCAGCTGATGATAGTGCTGTGTACTGGCAAAGTTTGTTTATCTTCCTCCTTCTGGGAGCATCAGCTTACATACAAAATGTTCTTCCAAAAATGTCCAATGGAGGCCTATTGAAGGGAAGTATTGAAATAGTGCAGGAATTAGTCACAGTGTTCAAATCTGTAACTACAGGCTTTGTGTACTGGTTCCTGTAAAGATCAGTTAATTCTTACATCTAATTTATACGTTTAGCTTGTATTTATGTGATCAGATTGAGTTACGACTTCAAATCAGAAAATGAGGCCTAAGTCTGGTACTGTTTTTATGGTTTCCCTTTATGAGCCCTGTAATGAATTTAATGTAATAATGAAGAGGGATGCTTTTGATTTATGGGAAAGTGATGTGTAGTGAGAGAAATAAACATTTATGTGTTTATGTACACTGCATTCAGTGACTTGAGTTACTACAAAGATACATTATATATTGACAACCTGCTTCCTGAATTAGTGTGATGACAAGAGGGGAAAGGACTGTTACTTATAGTACACACAGAAACCTACAGTAACCTGTGTGATAGAAACATACAGTAACCTGTGTGATAGTATCTTATAACCTCTGTAATAGTTCGTACAATATGGAAAATTATCATAATAATGATTTTAAATCTGACAATATTGTTGTCCTTGATGCAATACAACATCACAATTGAATTTCAGAATTTTATAGTTTTTGTTTTAGAGGATCCTGGTCTGGATATAAACTGGAGTTGTAATAAAACTTTGGGATATATTAGCATAGAAGTAGGGCAGCTTGTAAATACATATTGGTGCTATATTTACTGGATAACTTGTGCTAAGAAAGTAGTACAACTGCTGATTTAACTTGTCCTAACCCAACCTTTACTAGCCTTTAACTGCCTGATCCATTCCTAGTTAACCTTGTAATTTGTTTATTAACTTTCCAGTGAATGTTCTGTGTAGGGTATAGACAGTGCTGGTATGGTAATGGGGTTATAATGAGATTACTTACCTCAGGCCTGTCTTAGTCTGTAGGAAGTCACATTACCATGGCAACAAGATGTAAACAAATTCCACACAACTATATAGCTTCCTTACCCTAAGTAAAGAGCAGAAAACTGCTCACAACCCAATGAAACAGATTTACATCTGTACTTAGTGGTACTATAAAAAATGTTTGGTAAATTAATTACTTATCTTTTTTTTGGTCATGATGTTTGTTGGTCATTCAAACATGTACTTTATTGTAACGAAACAAAAATCAAAGGGTTAAGGCAAATTACTTCATACAACTTATGATGTCTTTTACTTAAGTTTTTACTATGGGTATAAAGGATTAGGGAGAAAGACACTCTTGTTCCTTTTAACGGGTCCGTAACCCTTGAGAATTATTATTAGTGATACATGTGTTTGTCTGCTGTCAAAACAAAACACAAGCACTGAATGACCTTGATGGAGATTAAGTAGGTCACCAGGTCAAGATAGCTACTTATTTTGCCTTGTGTTACATATTGAGGAATGTCTGACACATGCACATACTCCAAACATCTCTTAAGACTGACACATAACTTTAGCTGACGTAATTACCAAAGTTTTAAGGTAAAAACTTCAGCTTACGTATTTATCGAACTTTTGGGGTAAAATCAAAGTATGGGTGGTTTTCTGTTCGGTAGATTTTATGATGTGTGTGCTGAAGAGCAAACATAGAACTTATAATTAATCTTATTGAGCTTTGAGAATACATTGAAACAGAAAACAATATCTTAATAAAGAAATGATGTCATCCTCTCTGAATGATTATAACAGTCTTTTAAGA